AGACTGTCAAGTGTTTACTGTCGTCTCATGACGCATTGCACCGTCCCTGCCTGTCCGTTGTATCGGACTCGTAAGTAGCAAATTATTTTCAATTATAACTCGAAAACTAAGCTTCGGACAAAATTTTGTAAAAGGAAAAATCGTCTCAGAATTCGCTCAAGAATATGGCATTGCAAGGACATCAGGTTATTTTGAATCATCCTGTATACAAATTGATCATGAGAGTATATTTGTCCTTGGGGATCTTCCTTTGCTGATACGGCGAGTTTTGGCAGCGTCGCGTAGATTAACCGAAAGCGTCATCGATGAATATACCGAGAAGTGTACGCACTTCAAATATATTGAATTATATAATAAATAATTTTGGGATTTTAATGGGAACAATAAATCTACTTTTTAGTCAGGCAAAGCACAGTTTAGTTACACGTAAATTAAATATTTGTTTTTCAAAATTGTAAGCAAGTTTTGTTCGATTTTTTAAGCGTGCTACGTAAAAAATAATAACAATTTATAAAAACCGAAATTATTTTTTGAATTATTAAGTTATTTTTCTCCCGGTAGATTTTTATTAATCATTATACATGCACATAAAAACTTCCTTAATTCTTTTTATTCTTTCCTCCATTGCCTCTCGATTCTTACTAGACTCTCAAATTTCAGCTTCTCCAATTCAATTTCGTTATAAGGCTTTCATTATATATGATTGTAGTTGCGCCGGCTGTGATGCAGTTTGCGAGTTTTGTGCTATGAGTACTTCTCTTCAAAGATAGCATTCGTTTCGAACAAAACAAGTGGAGCACCCTTCATCCCACTCATCCCACCATGCGGCTTTTGGCTGCGCTAGAAAGAAAGTCTCATCTTGGAACCGATCGCGGACTGCACGAGCCTCCTTCAGTTTGATTCTCATTAAAAGTGCACGATACGAAGAGAAGTGATTTTTTTCGCGATATTAAATTGAGATTTGTATAGCGCACATCAATTCAAAGCTTAATGTACTTAAATTAAATATTTTACTAAAAGTTTTCCAAACTTTTAAATATCGGTTAAATATTATTTTATATACAGTTAATTTTTACAGAATAAGTTATTTTTTTTATTTTGACCTTGTTTTAATTTGCTCTTACGTCATCTTTTAAGATATCACTATGTAAATGCTAGATTGCTTCTTATTTATATCATTTTTAGTACATAATTTTGTATTGTATTGTAGTTCAATTTGTATATACTTATATTCTAATTATAATACGCGTGAGCATTTGAATGTTTATGGTTATTAAAAAATTCTAACTTTAAAAGTGATTTCTCAGGAAACTGGCGGTCTTGACGGATACCAGAGGGTGGAGTGTTTCGGAAATCACTTGCCGAGACTTATAATTTGGTTTAAGTTTTATGAAAAAATCTCCAAGTCGGACGCACCCTTTGCAAAGATTGCTCGCGGGCATTTTTGTGCTAGTGGAATGCGATTCTCGCTCGCGAACGAGTCTCGAAGCGCGCGCCACTGTCAGTAAATCGATGCGAGGGAGACGACGCGATCCTCGCCCTCTATTCCACCACCGTTGCCGCTGCCGTCGCTGCCGCCGTCATCCACCGCCACTACCCCCGCAGCCTTCTCTCTTCGGTAATTTAAGCTCCGACTCGGTTCAGCTGAGTTCAGTTGCGCCACTTGGTTGTGTGGTTCGCGTGCTGCCGCAAGTTCGCGAAAGCTCTTGTACACGAAAGATCCATTCCGTTTCTTTTTTTTCTCGACTCACGATTTTATCTTTTTTTACATCAATCTTCTCTTTTTCAATTTTTTGCTCTGTTTTTCTTTTATTTCTCACTCAAGAGGTACGTGAAGTGCACGTACTGAAAAAGAAAAAGCTTTAGGAGAGAGTGCTGCGAGCCGTCGATGTTTCTTCTCGCGGAGGTCTACGATCGGCACAAGGTAAATAGCCTTGCATAATGGATACAATATGTCTTCTACAGTACAGTATACTACATATAAAAGAATTGTCTGAATATGATTATTTTAAGTGCTAATCAGTTTATTTTTATCATACTTGAGCGTGACACGGCCGCGCCACTTCATTCACGAGCGCGGCTCACGTCAAACACGCGGCTGCGTTCCTCCATACAGTAGCGGTGTTTCATATCATGCTGAGTTTATTATATTCTTGTTATTTAAAATATATTTTATTTTTCAATTAAAAGTAGTGACAATATAGTGTGATACTATATTTTTTCCTTACGCATTGCTATGCGTAGAATGTGATTCAAAAGTGTGGCGATATATTAATTTTTTTTTAAGTATTAATTTTAGAAAACAAAACTCTCGAGTAAAAAAATCGTCTCGACTATGAAATTGCGTGATATAAAAATTCACGGCGCTCAAAGTTTATTGTTACATATTTTCTGATATAATAAAATAACTTTCTCTTCAAATATCTATTTCTGTCATGTTTTAAGCTCTTCACTTTGTGCAACAGAATTTCCTATTCTTCTCTATTGGAACCGGATCACTTATTTACTTTTCATTTCCTCTGTGCAAAATTCCGAGTCTTTTTTTATATTGGATTGTGTAGTAAGTAATTTCAGAGTTTTTAACAAATAATACAATTGTTTCTTGTGCAGCACGCTTAAAAAATCGTAATACGGACCAAACTTTGACAAATCAAAAATTTAATTTATGTGTTAATTAAAGTGCGCCGTTTGCCGATGAAAAAGTAGATAGATTCATTTGAAAATTGTTTATTACATAATGTACAAAAAACCGGAAGTTATTAGATTGAATAGTGAAATTGTTGTGTGACGTATACTGAAATGATTATCCGTCGAATAAACTTTGATAATAGAAAGATTGCTTTCTTAAGAAACAAGGAAATTCTGTAGAGACCGCCAGATGTTTTCGTCGGATTCATTGCATGCAAAGAAAAGGCGCGATAACTTTCATATCTACGGTGATATCGTCGGCATGCTTGCCAGTAAACCAAGAAACAACAATATTCTCTTAGCTCCTGATTGGAACATTATTCGCAAACACGTAGGAAGCAGTATGCTCGAAATCTCATTCATTGTACGTGCCAGCTTGTTCGCATTGAATGAAAGTATTCACGGTATTCATGGTAGTATTCTGATCGCTCATTCGCGGGCATAGCAAATTAATTATTCTAAAAAATGTAAATGGCGGATGGAAATGAATAAAAAATTCGCTTGCATTTTTACGAAAGTTTTACCGAGGCATATTATATCGGTTAATTCGTTATATTTGATATTATCATGAGCGAGGTGCACCTCTGCGCGTTATTATTTCCAAGCGCGATATTCTGTAGCTCAATAATTGCTCAATAATTACTGACTTAACAATCAAAATTAAAGCGGTACTCTAATTGAAATTGTAGTTACACGACATTAAACATCTTCCGTATGCGGTATTATAAAATTTAACAAGTGAAGCAAAAGGGTTCTCCTCGGTCGGAGGGACCTGCAAAAAGAGACCGCGTAATTAATCATTGATATAATATTTTAATTTTCATTAAAAGCGCACGATATTTGAAACTGCATCGTTAAAGCGTATCGATAATGGCAAAGCGACGATCAAAGAGCGCATTGCCTTGTGCAGATACCCGTTCAAGGGTGTGCGTCAGCTACGAAGGGACACTCGAATCAACTCGAGTGTGCGAGCGACAAAAAGCGACCTCGCAATTAATCACGTTGATTCCTCGCGATAATTTTTCATCTTCGATCATCGCGCTTTGTCCGGGCCGGCCCGGCTTCTGACGGTCTCCCCATATTCTCATTGGAAGTTTGTTTAAACTTGATTCCTGAATTAAGCCCGAGAACATACCTGGGAAATTTCATCCGCGAACAATTTCAATTCCGTCTGGGATTCCAATGCGGCCCTTCGAACTACCGTCCACTAAACCATCGCCGCTGCCGACGGATTGCATCGGGAGAAAGCACTCGGTCCGATAACGCTCGTATAAATTAATTCCTCGCGAGATGAAAGGTTTCCCGAATTACGGAATTATACGGCGTTTCGAGTCTCGATTTATCGCTGCCAAAACTTTGCTGTTTGTCGAACTCGCGAATATAAGTTTACGTGGATAAATGTTTCGCCTGCATTCGACGCGCAAAATGTATTAATCCGTTTGCAACTAGAATTGTGTGTGTAACGTCTCAAAAAGAAAGAACGTTTGTATAACAAAAAATTATCAAAGACGAGAAGACATCAGCTTGTTGAAGAATTGTTTTTCCACGGTTGAATCATTCTCTTTCCAATTATATCATTAAAAACGGATCATCTTATATAAAAAAGAATAAAATTATATAAAAGACTTCTTTGCATTTCACTTATTTTTGTGTCTCCCGAGAATTTTACAAATATCATAGAACAACTCGAATGGAATCGTAAGACGATGCGGAAAAGAATCGCACGGATGTATTGGAAAAGGGGAGCCGCGTCGCAAAATTTATTCTGAATTCTGCTTCGGTTTCCGACGCCATTTCCATCGTCCGTTCCGTTCTAAAAGTCTCCAAGGGCTTCTACCCAGCGTGTCGGCTGAAATTTCGCGGGATGCGAGCTCGATTTAAGTGCCAGGTGCCAGACGCGCGAATAAGGGCGCGCGAAATACGACGGCGTATCTCCATCTGACGCGAGACAGACGTGTCAGACCACGCGAGCAACATGTACATTCGCGGCAGGCGTTTCTTCGATCAACAAACATTTTGAGATCAAGTGCGTTTGAGAAAATGGCGATCATTTTAAACGCTACATTTAAATTATAATATCTATTTCAAGTTGTGTTGATCAACCAATAATTGTACGGTTAGAACACTTATTAAAATATGATTGGTACCAAAAAACATTATAAATTACTATTATTGATATTTTAATAAATGATCTTCTTTTTCCTGTCGGAATATCCACAATTTTTGAATAAACATTTCGTCATCAGCTTCTCGCCGGTCACACTGCAATTTATTAGACATTCTATATATTTTTTCTGCAGTTTCTGCGAAAGCTCACACATAGCACACATAAGTTGCATGTTTTCCATTTTCCGTGCTTGATACCTCGAGTGCGCCCAGCCAGTGGCGCTCGTATTGACTCTCGCCATGGCTTTAATCCAAATTCACCAGCGACGGATATTTCCATCAAGTCTCTTAAAGGTTCTCTCTCTCGCTCTTCTTTTCTCATCAGTTATGCATGGAAATAACCGGCGGAAAAACTGATAATCCGAGCTTGCTTCGCAAATTGAATTCCAACGCGACGGTGTATATCTGGGTGCCCAACCGACCTCGATGCATTCGCGACATCACAAATTGGTCCTGATGATCCCGAGACCTTCGCGTGCAGCAGCGTGCAACGGCGTGCGTTAATGTATGCGCCGACGTGCTCCATGTTAGAGCCGACGCCAATTTCTCCTGAATTCTGTTTAGTTGGTAATTAATATCAATTTAATCTTATACACATGACAGGATTAATTACGCGTGCCATTTGTCCCCGCATGGATGATTCCATTGACTTCGCCGGACGCCCTACGTAGCATCGCTCGCGCCCTTAGATCTCAATTCCGAGAATTAAACGCTATTTAATTGAGAGAATTCATTGCCTTTTAATTCCCCTCTCATTCTCTCTGCCATCTCTCCAGACTACACTTAAACAATGATGATATAAGCGATGTAATGATAGGAATACTTAACTTGAAATATTACGGGAATCAAATCTAGAATCACTTCTAGCTTCTTTGAATTCTGAACTCCATATGTCATCGAAACATCGAGAGAAAATTTGTAAATTTGTATTTAATAAATAAAACATAATCGCGACAATAATTGTTCCAGATTTCCGAATTGTGCTATAAATAGAACAAGAATAGTATCGACGTTGACGGATTCTTACGATCTGATTTAACATGCGTGTCAAAGTGGCTCCCAGGCGAGCTTCCTAATTAGACGAGCTTTAATCAGTTGCTTGATTAACTTCCATGGTACAAAAATGCTCACCCGTGGCGCGTAAAGTGAGACAACAGCCATGACGACATGCTGCGTGCAAAGTAAATATACGCGAATAGAAACGAGCTCGTAAGCTCCGCTGCATGGCAGGAGAAGGATTGATTATATATTCCGCGAAATGGAAGACGCAGCGTTAATCGAAATATTTTTCCAAAGAAATCAAAATATATATCCAAGTCGATTTTCAAATGATAAATTTCCGAGATGGCAGAAAATACATGAGAAAGTTTTGCCAAGATGACGAGTCGACGTGCACGCATTCTCGTTAACATCCTTCCGTAACATAAATGTTATGTCATTCTTCGCGATATTGAAGTAAACGAATACAGTTTGTTCTTTTCATATTCTTTGTATATCGCCTCTCATTCTCGTTGTAACTACTGAACGGCGAATTCCTTTGGCATCGGAATATTGAAATCATCTTGCACGTAATTAAGTCGATGAGAGTTCTGTAATGAAATGCGACTCATTATTAGCTGTCGCACGAGAAAGCACTCTTTTCCATGTTATTACCTCACCAAAGGAAGCGTCTTTCCACTCCACTTTTTTAGTCACACGACGAAAGTTCCACCGTAATTACTTGAAATGCAGAGAAAGAGACGAATGATCCAATAAAATTTCAAAAGAATCTGAAAGATTCTTATATTGTGCGACACGTCGCATTTCAAACTTGAGACATTCTTTCACTTTTATACTTCGATCTATTTTTAATCTCTTGACTTAACGTGTTTGGATTTCAACTACTCTGTTATATCAATCGATTTTGAAGAAACATTTTCAACAACTTAGACATGAGCGGACAAGCTCAAGAGTTCAGAGCGATCTGGCGTGATTTACGACACAATTTGATTGAAAATTTATATATTCGACATATTTATTACTGGTCGGTTTTTTTTCAATTTGCACGACAGATATGCAAAAGTCTTCCTT